TATATCAAAACTCGATGAGCAGTTACTCAGCTTGTTTTTGCTATATTTGTAGTATCCATTCCGTCCAGGCCAAGCTTCAAGGTTCAGGTCAAGGTCCACGGTTTTCAGATCAAGGTCCACGGTTTCAGGTATATCAAAACTCGATGAGCAATTACTCACTTGTTTTTGTATATTTTTAGTATCTATTCCATCCAGGGCAAGCTTCAAGGTTCAGGTCAAGGTCAGCGGGTTCAGGTCAAGGTCAGCGGGTTCAGGTCGAGGTCCACGGTTTCAGGTATATCAAAACTCGATGAGCAGTTACTCACTTGTTTTTGTATATTTCTAGTATCCATTCCATCCAGGTCAAGCTTCAAGGTTCAGGTCAAGATCCACGGTTTCAGGTATATCAAAACTCGATGAGCAGTTACTCACTTGTTTTTGTATATTTCTAGTATCCATTCCATCCAGGTCAAGCTTCAAGGTCCAGGTCAAGGTCCACGGTTTTCAGGTATATCAAAACTCGATGAGCAGTTACTCACTTGTTTTTGTATATTTTTAGTATCCATTCCGTCCAGGTCAAGCTTCAAGGTTCAGGTCAAGGTCCACGGTTTTCAGATCAAGGTCCACGGTTTCAGGTATATCAAAACTCGATGGGCATTTACTCACTTGTTTTTGTATATTTTTAGTATCCATTCCGTCCAGGTCAAGCTTCAAGGTTCAGGTCAAGGTCAGCGGGTTCAGGTCGAGGTCCACGGTTTCAGGTATATCAAAACTCGATGAGCAGTTACTCATTTGTTTTTGTATATTTGTAGTATCCATTCCATCCAGGTCAAGCTTCAAGGTCCAGGTCAAGGTCCACGGTTTTCAGGTATATCAAAACTCGATGAGCAGTTACTCACTTGTTTTTGTATATTTGTAGTATCCAATCCATCCAGGAAAAGCATCAATGTTCCGATCTACCAGCTATGGTTATAGGTATAACAAAACCATATGCGCATTTACTCACTAGCTTTTATCTATTACTAGTGTCAGCCATCCAGGTCAAGTGTCAAGGACCCGATTTCCTGGCAATGGGTATAGGTATAACAAATCGTTGTGGGAATATACTCACTAGTTATAATATATTTATAGTGTTCAGCCATCGATGTCAGGCGTCAAGGTTGCGATCTTCCAGCCAAGGTTATAGGTATAACAAAACATTATGGAAATATACTCACTGGTCTTAATATGTTTTTAGTGTTCACTCATCCAGGTCAATCAACAGGATTCTGATCTCCCGTCCATGGTTATAGGTATAACAAAACGTTATGGCAATATACTCATTATTTTAAATATATTTATAATGTTTAGCCATCGATGTCAGGCGTCAAGGTTGCGATCTTCCAGCCAAGGTTATAGGTATAACAAAACATTATGGAAATATACTCACTGGTCTTAATATGTTTTTAGTGTTCAGTCATCCAGGTCAATCAACAGGATTCTGATCTCCCGTCCATGGTTATAGGTATAACAAATCGTTGTGGGAATATACTCACTAGTTTTAATATATTTATAATGTTTAGCCATCGATGTTAGGCGTCAAGGTTCCGATCTTCCAGCCATGGTTCTAGGTATATCAAAACAATATGGAAATATACTCACTGGTTTTAATATGTTTTTAGTGTTCTGTCATCCAGGTCAATCAACAGGATTCTGATCTCCCGTCCATAGTTATAGGTATAAAAAAACGTTATGGGAATATACTCACTAGTTTTAATATATTTCTAGTGTTTAGCTATCCATGTCAAGCGTCCAGGTTCCGATCTCCCAACCATGTTTACAGGTATAACAAAACGTTATGCGCATTTACTCGCATGCTTTTATCTATTACTAGTGTTCAGCCATCTAGGTCAAGTGTCAAGGTTCCGATTGCCCGCCCATGGTTAAAGGTATAAAAAACATTATGGGCATATATTGACTAGTTTTTATATTTATTTGTGAACTCCAGCCATCCGTGTCAAGCGTCAAGGACCCGATCGCCCGTCCATGGTTATAGGTATAAAAACATTATGAGCGTACACTCATTAGTTTTTATATTTATTTAAGTCTCCAGCCATCCGTGTCAAGCATCAAGAACCCGATCCCCCGTCCATGGTTATAGGTATAAAAACATTATGGGCAAATACTTACTAGCTTTTATCTATTTCTAGTCTCCAGTCATCAATGTGAAGCGGCAAGGACCCGATCGACCGTCAATGGTTATAGGTAAAAAAAAACCATTAGGGACATATACACACTAGCTTTTATCTATCTCAAGTCTCCAGTTATCCAGGACAAGCATCACGGTTTCGATCTCCCAGCTATGGTTATAGGTATAACAATACATTATGCGCATTTACTCACTAGCTTTATTATAGTTCAAGTCTCCAGCCATCTAGGACAAGCATCAAGGTTCCGATCTACCAGCTATGGTTATAGGTATAACAGAACGTTATGCGCATTTACTCACTAGCTTTTATCTATTACTAGTGTTCAGCCATCCAGGTCAAGTGTCAAGGACCCGATCGCCCGGCCATGGGTATAGGTATAACAAAACGTTGTGGGAATATACTCACTAGTTATAATATATTTATAGTGTTCAGCCATCGATATCAGGCGTCAAGGTTGCGATCTTCCAGCCAAGGTTATAGGTATAACAAAACATTATGGAAATATACTCACTGGTCTTAATATGTTTTTAGTGTTCAGTCATCCAGGTCAATCAACAGGATTCTGATCTCCCGTCCATGGTTATAGGTATAACAAAACGTTATGGCAATATACTCATTATTTTAAATATATTTCTAGTGTTCCGCCAATCATGTCAAGCGTCCAGGTTCCCATCTCCCTGCCATGGTTATAGATGTAAAAAACATTAGGGACATATACTCACTAGCGTTAATATATGTCTAGTGTTCAGTCATCCAGGTCAAGCATCTAGGTTCTGATCGCCAATCCATGGTTAAAGGTATAAAACAACATTATGGGCGTATACTCACTGTTTTTATCTAGTTCTAGTCTCCAGCCATCCAGGTCAAGCATCAAGGTTCTACTCGCCCGTCAATGGTGACAGGTATAACAAAATGTTATGGGCATATATTCACTAGTTTTAATATATCTCTAGTGTTGGGCCATCCAGGTCGAGCATCAAGGTTCCGATCGCCCGTCCATGGTTATAGGTATAAAAAGCATTCTCGGCCTATACTCACTAGCTTTAATATTTTTCTAGTGTTCAGTTATCCAGGTCAAGCATCAAGGACCCTATCGCCCGCCCATGGTTATAAGTACAAAAAGCATTATGTGCATATACTCATTTTTTTAATCTAGTTCTAGTCTCCAGCCATCCAGGTCAAGCATCAAGATTCTGATCGCCCGTGCATGGTGATAGGTATAACAAAATGGTATGGGCATATATTCACTAGATTTAATATATTTCTAGTTTTCAGCTATCCAGGTCAAGCATCATGGTTCCGATCGCCCGTCAATGGTTATAAGTATAAAAAAACATTATGGGCATATACTCACTAGATTTAATATATCTCCAGTCTCCAGCTATCCAGATCAAGCATCAAGATTCCGATCTCCCCGCCATGGTTATAGGTATAAAAAAACGTTATGGGCATATACTCACTAGATTTAATATATCTCCAGTCTCCAGCTATCCAGGTCAAGCATCAAGATTCCCATCACCCCGCCATGGGTATAGGTATAAAAAGCATTATGGGCATATACTCATTATTTTAATCTAGTTCTAGTCTCCGGCCATCCAGGTCGAGCTTCAAGGTGCTGATCTCCCGTTATATGGTTATAGATATAACAAAAATCGATGAGCAATCACACTCGGCTTTATTTATTTCTAGTGTTGAATCCACCAAGATCATGCTTCACGGATCCGGATTCAGTCCGTGGCTATAGGTATACAAAAACTCGATGAGCAATTACTCATTGGATTTTATATATTTCTAGTGTCTACTCATCCACGGCAATTATCGGGATCCGATTTTCATGAATTGTTATAGCTAACCAAGTTTCCTTTAAACCTTTACTTAAAACAAACTGTACTCTTTATTTATACTTTCTTTTGATGGCAAAGAACGATGATCAAATATACATCCATTATGGAGGGTATACAAGTCGTTCTTGGCCATTACTAGCC